GATTATGGCAAGGGGGGGCTTGGAGTCAGGACTCCTGGGTTCTATTCTAACCCTGCAAGAGCCCCAAGAGACAAGGTGCTAACCTCTTCGCTCTGGCCAGTTGTAGCTTGTGTTTAGCTCTTCCTCAGCTGCCCCGCCCTGGAGATGGCTGCATTCCAGTGCCAGACAAGCCATCCCTGTGGGTGGAGCCCTTTGGGATGTGCAGAGCTGGGCGGGGCTGTGGAGAGGCTGGTTGTGAGGGAAGGCGCAAGTTCCTCTCCCACTATCACGCTCAGGGCTCCAGGTGTCTGAGTTACACTTCCCACTGCAGATCTGGAGATGACCAACGCCCGGAGCCGCCTTGATGCTGTGCTGCAGTGTCTGCTGGAGAAAAGTGATGTGGACCGGTGGGTGGAGATACATACGGACCGGTGTGGGGATGAGAGCATAGGCTGGGAGTTGGGCTTGGAACAGAGCTGGGGGAATATGGGGCCTTTCACTTCTGGGGGGCACCAGTTCTAATCCACCGCCAGGGCAGGGGTCAAGCGGGCTGTTTGGGGCAGCAGGAAAAGAGACACAGGTCCTTTCCCTTTTAGGGGGCACCCCTGGGCATGGGACTGGCTGGCTCGGGTGTGGGGAATGGCAATGGGGCCTTTTCCCTCTGGGGAGTGATGGGTCCCTCCAGCCCCACGGCAGTGGATCAGCTGGCTCGGGGGCTGGGCCCCCTGGGTTGCATGCCATGGGGGATGGGATCGGGCTGGCTCTGATTCGGACTGACATGCTCCTTGCAGGGAGCAGATGGACGAGGATGCCGGGAAGACGTCCAGTGACCCGCTCAGCAAGTAAGGAGCCTCTGACCAGGAGCTGTTGGGGGGGCTGTGTGGGGGGAGCCTTTCTCCTGTGGCCCCTTGGGAAGCCAGGTCAGAGCTGGGAGGGCCCACAACATTCCAGTGCTGAGCTGTGGAATGGCAGGATTGTCCCTTTCACTCAGAGCCCCGCGTTACTCCAGCCGGGTTCAGCTCCCAGCCCTTGGTTCTTCCCCACCCCCATGCTGACCTCCTCCGATCACCACCCGTGCTCCTCAGACCCCCCTCCTTCTCCTGGGTCAGGGGTGTGGGCAGGATTGGAGCAGGGGGCACCATGTCTAGCAGCGGGGGCCTGCTGCCCCTGGGAAGGGTTGGGGGGCCTTGCACCTCGGGCCTCACCTCCCCTCTCCTCTTGTCTTTGCAGGGACTCCTCCCCCTCTGCGACTGGGAAGAGGTGGGTACTTCCAGTGGCATTGTGCCTCGCTGTGCACCATAGGGCTGTCAGGCCCAGACACCACCCTGACGGGAGATGGACGAGTAGACGGGGGAGGCCCTGGGGTCTAGTGGGTTAGAGCAGGGCGGCTGGGAACCAGAGATGCCTGGGTTCTCCCTCAGCCGTGGGTGAGTAGTGGGATCTGGTGGGTTGGGAGGGAGGGGGAGTCAGGACTCCTGGGTTCTCTCCCTCTTTAGCCATTTGACCTGATGCAAGTCCCTTTGCAGTCAGCACCTCAGTTCTGTCTGTGAAGTAGAGGTGACACCCCCAGCTCTTGGAAGGGCATTATGAGGCTGAAGTTTTGTTATTAAAGGGCTTAGAGATTCTCCGGCAATAGTCACTGTGGCTGTTTCCCAGCTGCCCCACCCCAGAGCTGGCTGCATCTCCGTGCTGGGCGAGCCTTCCTGTGCAAGGAGCCCTTGTGGGGAGGGGGTGGCAGGACGGTGCTAGGATGGGGATATCTGTGTGGGGAAGGGCTGGCTCCTCTCCCAGGATCATGCCTGAGGCTCCATGTGTCTGGGCCCCCATTCAGCCCTATGGCGGGGAGTCCCTTCTATGGCCTGGCTTCAGTCCCTGGAGGTGTTGGGGCTTGGCAGTCCACCATTGATCTGTCCCCACCCCCACGGCAGGCCCTCAGCACGGTTCTCCCATCACCGGCGCAAGAAGAGGAAGGAGACAGATGATGGATTGACTGAGGGTGGCCAGCAGAGACAGAGTAAGTGGGGGTGGGGCACAGGGCCTTCCCCTCTAGGTGGTGCTGGCTCCTATCTGGCCCAGGGCAGGGGACTGACTGGTTCGGGGTTGGGGGGGGGGACTGGAACATGGCTGGGTTGGGGGGCAGGGGGAATGGGGCATGGGGCCTTCCCCCCCCCAGGGGGTGCTGGCTCACATCCCGAGCAGCGGGCTGGTTAGTGGGGGTTCCCGTCTGATGGTTTTTCTGCTTTCACCCCCAGACACCTACATCATCAAGCTGTTTGACCGGAGTGTGGACCTGGCGCAGTTTGCGGAGAGCACCCCGCTGTACCCCATCTGCCGGGCCTGGATGAGGAACAGCCCCGCTGTGCGCGAAAGGGAGCGCTCGCCCAGCCCCCCGCTGCCCACCCTGCCTGAGGATGAGGAGGTGGGGGGTATGTGGAGGGAGGGGCTGTATGGGGTCCTATCCCCCCATGGTGCAGGGATGGGGGTGGGGCTGTGTCGGGTGTCCCCTCCCCCTGCTCTGTGTTCCCAGGGGGCTGAGGGGCAGGGATTGGGAAGGGGCTGTGCGGGGTCTCCCCACCCCTTGCTGTGACCTGCCTTGTGTTCCCAGGGGGCTGAGGGGCAGGGATTGGGGAGGGGCTGTGCGGGGTCTCCCCACCCCTTGCTGTGACCTGCTCTGTGTTCCCAGGGGGCTGAGGGGCTGAACGGGAAGAGCCAGGATGTGTACAAGCTGCCCCCGCCGTGTGCTGGCCTGGAGAGTGCTGGTGGGGAGTCTGTGAGCACCAGAATACCCTCCCCGCTGCCACCTGAGGATGGGGGGCTGCCCCCTGACATGGTGAGGGTGGGGCCCCGGGCTGCTGTGTCCACCTGCTGCCCCACCCAGGGCCTCATGCCCGCTGAGCTCTGGCCTCTTCCCTCCTCCACCTGCAGGGGGTGCTGCAGCTCCCCTCAGTCTGTCCCCCATCCACTGCTCTGCTCTCACAGCCTGGACTGCTGCCCCGCCATTCTCCATGGGTCCCATGGGGTCCCCGATACTTTGTCCCAGCCTTGCAGGCTGCCTGCCCCCTATCTCCCACCTGGTTCCCTGCTCTTTTCCTACCCACTTCCCCTGGGGTCCACCCCCCAACTACCCATCTCCCCCCGCACAGAATCACAGACTCTCAGGGTTGGAAGGGACCTCAGGAGATCATCTAGTCCAACCCCGGGCTCAAAGCAGGACCAGTCCCCACTTATTGCCCCAGATCAACTTAACAGCCCCCTCAAGGATTGAGCTCACAACCCTGGGTTTAGCAGGCCAATGCTCAAACCACTGAGCTATCCCACCCCCCCACTATGCTCCTACCATGACACTGCCCCTCCCTTCTAGGGGATCCACCCCCTGTAGGCTCCTGCTCTCTCAGGTTCCCCCCCAACCTGATGTGTGTTCGTTCTCTCTCTCTCTTCTCTCCCGCCCCCCCATGTAGACCCCTGACCCACGGCCCTCGATGTCATCTCTCATCTATAAGAACATGGAGCGCTGGAAGAAGATCCGCCAGCGGTGGGTGTGCCAGAGTGGTGGGGGATGGAGGGAGGGTGTTCATACTCCGCCTGGGAGAAGGGCTGGGGGCACTTCAGCCTCGGGGAGGGGGGTTCTTGTCCCCCTGCCCCATCTCTGATCTCTGCTGCCCCCGCAGGTGGAAGGAGGCATCGCACCGGAACCAGCTGCGCTACGCTGAGAGCATGAAGATCCTCAAGGAGATGTATGAGCGGCAGTGAGGGGCCCTGCCCAGGCCCTTTCTCTTGTGGGTGGGGCTGTACTGAGGCCCAGACACTGGGAATGGGGCCACTTGGGCGCCCCGCCTCTGGGGAGGCCACTCGTAGTAGAAAGCAGCTGAAAACCCTGGGCTTGGTGTGGGGGAGAGTGGTCTAGGTTGGGGGTGCCACTTATGCCCCCCTTCTGTCCCCTGGCTGGGCTCTGTGTGGGGTGGGGCTGCCCCTCAGTGGAGGCAGCGGCTAGTGCATGTATGGGGGCCTAGTCTCCCAGGTTGGGCCTAGTCTCCTCTCCTGCCCCCCCCCAAGTTCCAACACAGCCAATAAACTGAGTCCCTGCCACCTGGTTCACCTGTGTCATGGGGAGATGACACCCTGGAGTGGCCCAGGGAGAAGCCCCCTTTGGGGAGAATTCACAGCTGGAGGCAATGCAGCAGGGGCGGGGAGATAGGGGTGGCTGGGAAGTGAGGTCCTGCCTCACCCCTGTGGGTAAAGGGGGCTCTGGTGAGGCCAGACCTCTGTAAACCCCACCTGAGCTGTTCCACAAGGGGTTAATCAGCCTTGAGCTGCCCCCCTCCCCTCAGGAACAGAGGGGTGTGTCGCAGTGATGTCATGCTGCTGCACTGGGGCAGAGCAGGGAGTTTGCACTGGCCACACTTTGGTGGCCGGGCTGGCCCGTGTCTGGGTGTCGCGGCAGGGCCCCAGGGGCTCTAGTGAGGGTGTGCAGTGTGTGGGACCTGGGGGGAGCATGAGGTGAGAGAGCAGGGTGGGATGTTACTGTAACCCATGCCCTGGAGTATGGGTACATGTGTCCCTCCTGCAGCTCCCCTCACCCCACATATGCAGCCATAGGTCCCAACAGCTGGCCCAGGGCCCCCCTGGCTGTCTCTCTCAGCCCTATGCAACAGGTGCTTCCTTACACAGCACCAGACACCTGTTATGCTCTGACACACAACTCCAAACAGCCGCCCGCCACGCCCAGCCCTGGGCACCAGGGGCTTCCGCCTGCCACACCCAGCCCTGGGCACCAGCGGCATTCTGTCCTATAACCTCAAACAGGTGCACCCCAACACATCCTCTCTGCTTCGTACCACCTGCCCCCACCGCTAAACAACCCTGTTTATCCTCCCCTTCCCTGACAAGCACAGACCAGCCACTGTACACAACTCCCACCATGCACTGTAACTTACCCCCACCTCCTCCCAGGCAGCACCCCTGGATGAAATCCCCCCCCCCCCCAGCAGTGGCCCCCAAAAACAACCACAGGGAGGCACCAGTCCAGCAGGCGGGTGGAGTTTATTGGCCGAGCTCCTGGCTTCATACAGCACCAGCCATAGATAAGAAAAAATCCTGCAAAGCAGCTGGTCGGGGGAGGGGAGAAGGGGAAGTAGCAACTCCCAGCTCTCTGCTCCCCCAGGCCTGGAAAGGAGGACCCCCTGAAATTCTGCTGTCCCAAGGCACTGGGGGAGGGTGACGCCCACCAGGCAGGGGGTGTCCCTAGTGGTGAGAGGGGGACCCCCTGGCTCTGGTGGGGGGGGTGTAGAGGCGGATCCTTGCCCCCCCTATTTCCCAGTGATGGCAGGGCTCTGCTGGCAGGTGATGGGGACGGTGCGCTCCTGGGCCTTGCCTTCTGGTTTGGTGGGCGCCGTGATGGAGAGGATGCCGTCGGGCGAGAGGGCTGAGGTGACAGTGGCGGGGTCCACACCCCGGGGCAGCCCGTAGCGCCGGTGGAACTCACGAGAGATGTAGCCGTGCTCGTCCTGGGGGCAAGAGAGAAGGTGTCAGTGTGGGGGGGAGGAGGGCTGAGGGGGGCACTCCGGGCTGGGGGGGGCCGTACCGGACGCTCCTCATGCTTGGCGTGCACCTCCACGTAGTCACCCACCACCTTCACGCTCAGCTCCTCAGGCGAGAAATGCTTCACATCCAGCAGCACTGAGAACCGGTCCTTGTCCAGTGTCATCTGTGGGGGCAGACCAGCGGGTGAGGGCACTGCTGGGGGGAAGCTCACTGGTGCTGGGCACTGTCAGAGGGAAGGTTGCAGGGCTGGGGGCCAGGCACTGCCAGGGAGAAGCTTTTGGGGCTGGGCACTGCCAGAGGGAAGCTCACAGCACCTGGGGCTGGGCACCACTGGAGGGAAGCTCACAGCTCCAGGGCTGGGCACTGACGGGGAAACTCACAGCACCAGGTTCCAGGGCTGGACACTGCGGGGTAGGGGAGAGCTTGCAGGGGCTGGGCACTGTCAGGGGGAAGCTTGCAGCACCGGTCCTGGGCACTGTCAGGGAGAAGCTCACAGACTTGGGGAGCTGGGGGAAACTTACAGTGCCGGGGGCCAGGTCTGGGCACTGTGGGGGGGGAAGCTTACAGGGCTAGGCACTGCCGGGGGAGGGGGACTCGCAGTGCTGGAGTCCCACCCCTCTGAGTGCTGCCCCTGCCGGGCCCTGCAGATGCTGGTGCGGTGAGGGACGCAGAGCCTGGGGGAGGGTGGAATAACGGGGTCCAAAGTTGGGGGGAGCTAGCTGCTCCCTCCCCGTCCCCCCGTCCCCATGGCCGGCAGCCCAACCAGCTGGCAGCAGGCGCCGCACAGCACAGGAATGTTACCATAATAGGGCAGCCTCTGCTTCCGTGCCACCCCCCGTTACCCCTCTCCTGCTCACCGGTGCCCCAAGGGGTGGGAGGCACTCACACCCCAATATGGCTGTGTACAGCATTAGTCCCCGCAGCCCCCCACTCCCAGCACAGCCCTGGGGAAGCTCGTGCCACTGGGGTGAGACTCTCTGGTATTTGGGGTATGGGCCTGGCAGAGCAGAATTCAGGGGTGCAGAGAGGATGTGGGCCATGCATGGATCTGGGGGTACAGTGAGCACAGGCAACACCTGGATTTAAGGGTACAGAGAGAGGGGGCAGCAGGGAATGGGGATGCAGGGAGGTACAGAAGGGGTGTGGATTATGGAGTTAGGGGAGCAGAGAGAGTGGTGGACATTAATAGATGGATGGGTGGGGGGGGCCCACGTGGCTCTGGGGGGCCAGCAGTGGGTGGGGCCTGGGTGTGACTACAGGAAGGGTGGAGACCATGCACAGATCCAGGGGGTGAAGCAAGCGGGGGGAGCAGGGATGTGGGGAGCAGTGAGGATGATGCAGAGATTTTTGGGACAGTCAGGGGGTGCAGAGATTGGGGATACAGGGATTGGGCACAATGAGGGTGATGCTGGGATTTGGGGGGCAGCGAAGGGGCAGGAGTTTTCGGGTGCAGTGAGGGTGGGGCAAGGAGTGGGGGAAGGGATTGGTGTAGTGAGGGGGTGCAGGGATTCAGTGGGCAGTGAGGGGGGCAGGGATTTGGGGCAGGGATGGGGGAGTGCAGGGATTTGGGGTGCAGCGAGGGATGCAGGGATTGGGGTGCATGGATTGGGGCAGTAGGGGTGCAGGGATTGGGGGAGCAGTGATTTGGGGCAGTGAGGGGGTGCGGGGACTGGGAGCAGGGAGGGGGAGCAGGGATTGGGGGCAATGAGGGGCACCCACCCCTGACCCACCTCGGAGAGGCCTGTGTCGGGCAGGACCACGCCAGGGGGGGCGGGCGCAGAGGGGGCCGTGGCCAGCGGCGGGGCAGAGGGCTGCCAGGTCGCTCTCCAGCAGCCCCTCGCCGAAGCGCTGGTCGAAGAGGCGGTTGGCAAGGAAGGGGCCAAAGCCAGGGCCCAGAGGCCGGCGCAGCCAAGGATGCTGGATGGCGACGTCCATGGCAGCTGGGTCGGGGCGTCCGTCTGCACCCGCCCTCCGTCGGGGCCTTATATCCCACGGGCGTGGAAGGCGCTAGAAGCCTGGGCGAGGAGGGATGGCCGGGCACCGGGCCAAGGGGAGGGCCGGGCTGCCTGCCAGGCCTGCGGGGCCAGGCGAGACCAGCACAGACGGACGGACCGACCTACACTGATGTGGACAGACGGATAGGGTGGGCAACCCCCCTGTCCCCAGCCGACTGTCACCAGAGACAGACCGAGTCTGGGGCAGGTCGCAGGCCTGGATCCCGGGGGAAGGAGGAGTTCCACGGGGGGGGGAGGGGGAAGCTGTGAGGACAGACAGACAGCTCAGCCCCTCCAGCTGGGGGATGGATAGACACCACACACACACACACAAACCGTGCACGTGTGTGTGTGTGTCCCTCTGTCCCTGCTGGAGGGGCTGAGCCCTACTCTGTGCACCCCCACCCACATGTCAGCCCCTCTGAGAGGCCAGCTGCCAGACACAACACAGACTGTGCCCCCCAACCCCCACCCCACCAGGACTCGGCTCCCCTCCTCCCAGCCCTGCGAGCACTCACCCCACACGTTTGTGAGCCACTGCCCGGGGAGGGCGCTGCATGCAGTGTGTGCTGGGGAGGGGCAGGGGAATGGGGACGGATAGACAGACAGTGGGATGGGGTGCGTATCTGGCACATGCACCCTGCCCCAAACCCAGGCACATGGGCGCACTGGTTTCCCATCCTGTCCGATCCCATTCGGGGAGCTGCGCCCCAGACATGGAGCCAGGCTGGGCCAGCTGGGCACAGAACAAAGGAGCATTGCCCAGAAGATTGCCCTACTCCGCGGGGTCCTGCCTGGCTGGATGCTGCCATGGGGAAGCTTGTAGAGCTGGGCACTGCCACAGGGAAGCTCACAGCGCTGAGATCCTGTCAGGCCGGACACTGTTGCAGGGAAGCTCACAGTGGCAGCGTACTCAGCTGGGCACTGCTGTGGGGAAGCTCAGAGCAGCAGTGTCCCTAGCTGGGTTGGATAAGCAAAAACATTGTGTGTAGTGCTTGGAGCGGAGGAGGTGCAGGGGGCTGGGAGCCAGGACTCCTGGGTCCTCTCCCCAGTTCTGAGAGGGCAGTGGGGGCTGGGGGTTAAAGCAGGGGGTCTCTTTAAGTCTCTCTGTCCCAGGGATTTGGTGCCCAAAGCCTGAGGCCAAATGTGCTCATGTTACTATATCAGGGATTAGCCCATGTGTCAAGCATCCGCCAAGGGACTGTGGCTAAAGTGCACGCCTGCCGCACATAGGGAGGGGGGTGGGGGGCCTGGCTGGCTCCGGGGGATGGGGATTGGGGCCTTTCCCCTCTAGGGGCACCAGTTCAATCCAGCCCAGGGCAGGGGACTGGCTGGCTAAGGGGGACAGGGAATAGGGCCTTTCCCCTCTAAGGAGTGCAAGCTCTGGTCCCTGCCCAGCTGGTGGTCTCTGTGTAATGAGTGTTGTGGGTCTGAGCCCGGCCTGAATACTGTGGTTTGACTGTATTGGACTTCAGAGACACGAACACTCACCTGGTGACACACACAACATTCTCCGCAGCACAAACCCCCACCCCCTGGAGGGAACAGCCCAGCAAAGGCAGCCACAAAACAACATGCAGGGGCACACCACGACAAATCCTGCACACTGCCTGATGCCCCCGGCAGGGCGCCTGCCGAAGAAATGAACCCAGCTACAGAGCCACAGCCAGACATGGATGCCACCTGTCTCGCAGCCCAGACATGGCTAGAGACACACCAAACACCAACCCAGCCACAGCCTGAGCCCCACAACAACCACAAACAGCCACAAACACATGCATAGCCGCAAACACAGCCAGACACACAACTATACCCACAGCCAGACTCACACAGCTGCAAACACAAGACAGAACTGCCACAGCCCGCAGACACAGCCAGACACCCACACCCAGAAACACAAAGCCACAAATACACACAGCCACAAACACAAGACACAGAACAGCCACAGCCCACGCCCCACAACAGATGCAGACACATCCAGACACACACAGCGGCAAACGCAGTGAGATACAGAACAGCCACAGCCTGAGCCCTGAAACAGCTGCAAACCCAGACAGCCAGATACATGCACAGCCAAGCCGCAGGCAAGGAGTCACAGCAGAATTGAAAACACCAGCTGCAGCGATCCCCCAGCCCAGCCTCTGGAGCCCCCCAGGCCTGGGTGAATTTCCCTCCCCCTGGCCCCCTGCAGCCAGCCCCCCATAGCAGCGCAATAACCAAAAGCTCCATCCTGCTGCCTTGCCCCCGGTCATGGGCACAGGAGGCGTCAGCGGCTGACACACAAAGGCCGTTCAGTGACAGGCTGATCCTGTGAGCAGGGAGAGAGTGCAGGCTGGGCACAGGAGACAAGAGCTGGGGAGAGAACCCAGGCATCCTGACTGGACTCCCAGCTCCTGCTGCTCTAACCCACCAGACCCCACTCCCCTCCCAGAGTCAGGGAGAGAACCCAGGTGTCCTGGCTCCCAGCCCTCATTGTTCTAACTGCCCAGACTTCCCTCCCCTAGCCAGGGGGAGAACCCAGGCGTCCTGGCTCCGCCTTTCTAGCATTACATTCTGGCAAGGAAAGGGTGTTTATCTCCCTAATGCAAAACAGCTGAACTAACTCAGCTCAAACCTGGACCATAAAAATTGACCCAGGGGCTGGGAAGTTTCACTTAAAAAATCAGTGTTGCAATGTCTGTCTCATGGGGTTTAACCCCCTCAGAGCAGGGGCCTGGTGCTCAGACACCGACATCTGTGGGGGGGGAGGGGGACAGCTGCACATAATGCCACCTGGGGACGGTGACGTAGCCACCTCTGGGCCAGGGCAGCTGGGGAACAGCTGCATAGCAACACTGCTCAGGGACAGCTCGATGGGTGTGGAGATGTAGCCACCCCTGGGCTGGAGCAGTTGGGGAACAGCCACACATAACACCGCATGGGGATGGCTCACCTGGTGCTGACACGCTGCCTGCTGTAGGCAGAGCAGCCGGGACTCAGCCGTGCGGGCTGCGTAGGGCAGAGAACTCTGGCCCGGGGAGCAGTGAGACTGCTTTCAGTGAGGAGCAGGATGTTACACCCTGTTCCCACTTTGATGTGCCAGGGCTGGGCTGATTGTCTCACCTGTTCTGAACGCAGGAGCCAGTGGGGCCCTGTAATTAGTGCTGGCCTGACGCCCAGGACCTGTCTGAGCAGCTGGGCCTGGGGAGCAGGCAAAATCCTGGTGCCTCTTGCCCCAGAAACACCCCACCCGTCGCGTCCCCTTAGGGCCAGGGCTCGTCCTCTAGACTAGGTGCCTCTGGGTGCTAGCCCCAGCTCTGGGAAGGGAGTGGGGTCTAATGGTTAGATTTGGGGGGGCTATGAGCCAGGATTCCTGGGTTCTATCCCTGGGGCAGGTGCTCGTGGTTAGAGCAGGGGGTCCTGTTGCCAGGCTGTACTTGAGCTCTCCAGGGCTGGGGGGGCCTCAGCCTGGGCCTGTTCAGCCTTGTGACTGGGAGCTGGGTGAGGCCCCTGGAAGGGGCTTTGGGGACGTCAGCAGGTAAACTGGGGCCCGTGACTCAGTGCTGGCTGCAGGCCATGTCAGCCTGGCTGCTGCCTGGCAGTGGCCGCGGAATGTGCTCGCTGCAGATTGGGGTGGCCCGCAGCAGACAGGGCACAGCGGGGAGTGACTAAGCTCACGCCCACTCCCTGGAGTGGGGGGGTCTTTCCTGGGCTGGTGGCGGTGAAGGGGGACTATCCCAAGCCCTCCCCGCGGCTGGCTGGTTCCAAGCAGGGGGCTGAGGCTGAGCCAAGGCTGGGCTCCCAGCTGGGCAGCGATATAATTAGCACCCAAAATAGACGAGTGGAAATTGACAACTGCCACCAGATCCATGCATGTGCAGGGGCACGTGTGCATGCATCAGCCAGAGGGTGTGTGGGCCTGTGTGTGTGCACCACCAGGGGGTTGGTATGTTTGCGTGGAGATGTGTGTGCGTATTGGGGGGGTATATTGTGTGCAGAGGGGGGGGAGATACCATCGGGAAGCGTGTGTGGGGGTGTGTTGGCATGGACATGTGTGTGTATTGTCGTGTGTGTGGGGAGAAGGTGCCATTGGGGAACGGGTGGGTGGGTTAATGGCATGGACACGTGTGCGTATTGTTGTGTGTAGCGTGTGCGCGGGGAGAAGGTCTTTAAAAAAGGGAAGAAGGAGGATCCTGGGAACTACAGGCCAGTCAGCCTCACCTCAGTCCCTGGAAAAATCATGGAGCAGGTCCTCAAAGAATCAATCCTGAAGCACTTGCATGAGAGGAAAGTGATCAGGAACAGCCAGCATGGATTCACCAAGGGAAGGTCATGCCTGACTAATCTAATTGCCTTTTATGATGAGATTACTGGTTCTGTGGATGAAGGGAAAGCAGTGGATATATTGTTTCTTGACTTTAGCAAAGCTTTTGACACGGTCTCCCACAGTATTCTTGTCAGCAAGTTAAGGAAGTATGGGCTGGATGAATGCACTATAAGGTGGGTAGAAAGCTGGCTAGATTGTCGGGTTCAACGGGTAGTGATCAATGGCTCCATGTCTAGTTGGCAGCCGGTATCAAGTGGAGTGCCCCAAGGGTCGGTCCTGGGGCCGGTTTTGTTCAATATCTTCATAAATGATCTGGAGGATGGTGTGGATTGCACTCTCAGCAAATTTGCGGATGATACTAAACTGGGAGGAGTGGTAGATACGCTGGAGGGGAGGGATAGGATACAGAAGGACCTAGACAAATTGGAGAATTGGGCCAAAAGAAATCTGATGAGGTTCAATAAGGATAAGTGCAGGGTCCTGCACTTAGGATGGAAGAATCCAATGCACCGCTACAGACTAGGGACCGAATGGCTAGGCAGCAGTTCTGCGGAAAAGGACCTAGGGGTGACAATGGACGAGAAGCTGGATATGAGTCAACAGTGTGCCCTTGTTGCCAAGAAGGCCAATGGCATTTTGGGATGTATAAGTAGGGGCATAGCGAGCAGATCGAGGGATGTGATCGT